TTGGTGGAAGGAGGAGTAACCCATTAGACTTATAAGGTGGGTCTATTTTCCATGTATGAACGATGTGGGACAACTCACAAGTGATATTCTAACACGCCCCCTCACTTGTGAATCCTTCGAAAGCCCAAGCCCAACTGGGTGCCCCAAGCCTACTAGAAGTAGACTCCCATAAACGGGTACGTGGGGAAGCAAACTCCCATAAACGGATGGGGGAAGTCCAAGCCCAACTGGGTGCCCCAAGCCTACTAGAAGTAAACTCCCATAAACGGGTACGTGAGAAAGCAGACTCCATAAACGGGTACATCATCGCAGGGTCTCAATAGAACTTAGCTCTGATACCATGTAAGAAACTGGGGAAAAACGGGTACGGTGGCACCATGAGAGGGAAAAACCCATATGAAGCCCAAGTGGGGTTCCATCCCAAAACCAATTGGTGGAAGAAGGAGTAGCCCATTAGACTTATAAGGTGGGTCTATTTTCCATGTATGAACGATTGACAATTTCGTACATTTCTGACTCTCCTTGAAGTTTACTTCCATTTCATGTCAGAAGATCGTTATCTTGCTTCAACGAAGAAAACCACATTTGATAGACGAAGCATGTGGAAGATGTCGTCACAGATGTACACGTGACGTGTCGATTATTACCTAGTACAGTACAAAATATATGCAGACAATAAAATGGCAGATAAGTCAAACGATGCATAAAAGAAGCCTTTAACATGATATTACGAAACATGATCATTCAAATTGTGAAGTCAAACCCTTTGCTCCGAAGGAAATAAGAACCATTTAAAATTGAAGTGTAAATGTGAAGCTTGGTCAACAATTCCAATGCTGCATCCCAAACATCATTAAGACAAATGATATTTGGCCAAATAATAATTGGAACAAGAGGCAACTACCTCTCTGGAACCTGTTCAGAAAGAGAAGGCTCGGAACTAAGAAGCCGTTCAGCTTCATCGTTAGCCTCGGCTTGCAGTCTCCATTTCTGCTACGTCGAAAGGGCAAAACCGTCAAAATGACCACAAGGTCTTGTATAAAAGTTGGATTAGTGTTTTTATGCAATTCATATTTTCTTTTGTATGGAAGTGCATGAATAAAATATAACTTGCCTCTTCAAGATTCTCGATTTCCATGATTTGCTGAATCTGTTGAGCAATGTTTTCCTGCATGCAAGATAAACCAATGTCGAATAAACTGCTAAAGCTACTCCTGGGTTTAAGTTGATTAACAAAAAAGAAATAAAGAAAATAAAAATATGAAGAGATAACAAACTTCTTGAGAATAATTGGATGCTTGTTTTTTAAAAGACTAATCCTCGAGGGAGGCATTTGCAATTGTAACCAGATAAAAAGCAGATAAACGTACTGAGCTACTGACAGTTTCTGCAGCAAGAACATCTGAGTCCAATTCTACCTCAATTTCGATCATGGAAGAAATCTGGAAATTGTTAACAGAGCATAATTAAAAGATGTTCGTAAAACTATGTCTAATGAGATTCAAATTAGTGTTTTTCTCTTATATAGGATTCACGCTCTTTTATCAATTGATGACTTACCCTAGCATAGCTTTCAATCAGTTCAATCCGATTCTCGAGGGAGATCTCCAAACCCTCACGTACCCTTTTGATTTTATGTCTTCTAGCACTAAATTTAAAGATCAAAATGCATTTATAAGTGAACGTGCGGGATGCTGGTCTATTCAGTCAAAATTTAAACACACAATTGAGATTTCTACAGCAGGAGAGTGTGTACCGGTAAGAAGGTTCTCCCACAGCATAAATTTTGTTCTCCAACTGCCACATTCGAGCGAGCATCCAAACCTGCGGACCAAGAAATTTCGAGCACCATTATGTTCAATGATCGACTCAATTTGCAAACATAAAAAAAGGGCACAAACTTATGTACATATGAAGTCAGACTGCCAGTGATGAAGTCTGAAAATCTGAAGTTCTGAAAGGAACCAATGACACAACTCATTTTAGTAGGAAGCATTGAGGGAGTTTTGTACGAAAGATCATTAGATTGTGATTCTTTAATACTTAATAGCAACAAAATTATTCTAACTCGGCGAAGTTCTACAAAGTGCCCCAAAAAATAGGGACAACAAAGTTGAACAGTAGACAGAATGGTTTGATGTTACTTTCATTTATATATGAATAAACCCAAAATCAAAATGATATATTCTATCACTAAAACTGAAGTTAGCCATGAACAATCACTATAATAGTCACTATTTCCAGAGTAAAACCTCATTTTCAGCAGCTTTCTTCAACTCCTTGATACGAGACTGAAGTACGTCATACTGAGATAACAGCTGCTGCCTTACAGATGTTATATCCACTGATCTTTGAGGAAGCTGGCTTCGAGAAAGAAAAAACAACCATGTCAAACTTCAAGAAACTCATATGATGCATATATCATTATAATATAAGCACCTATGTTACACTCTAGCCTCGAAACACGGAAAGAAAACTCTGGACCTAGTATAATACTTGAGGTACACTAACATTTCCTTTTCTAGGCTCAAAACTGATCCTTCAAACTGGAATTTTGAGAAATACTTGAAATTCACAAAGAATATCCTCTTTTCCTAGTTATTATGTTCGATACCGTAAGGTCCCTATAACATGTGCCAAGGAAAAAAATCCTATAAAAGAAAACTACCGACCAAATAAATCTCTAATGAAAAATGTTGATCAATTGCATTGATAGGTTCAGGAATAAAGGTATAAGTCATGACAAATATATGATTTTTCCAAAACATTTCTTCGTAATCCAACTAACTATTTTTTTACATAACAATACAAAATTAAAAGTGAATATTTTTTATCCACTTCATTTTGTTTTTACATTCAATCAGACTTGTATGAAAACAGTGAACACCAATTCTGTGAAAGGACCTGCCTTGTTGAGCTGCGGAAGAACGAAACTATTAAATGTCACGGCAACAGCAACTGAAGATGCCACAGCAACTGCAATTAACTGAGGCAAACTAGAGTCAACTATTCCAGAGGCAGCATCCCCAGTTGCAAACACTGCAATAGTTGGAAATAAGATGGATGGACTCAGCAAGGACTTGCCCACATCTTTAGCAGGCGCTCTGAGCAATCGAGATTCTCTACCATCCCTATGATTGGTTAGACACATGGGCTCCCCAGGGTAGAAACTGGGAACTCGTGGACTAAACTTTAAAGGGCCGATTTCCCTGTAAGCACTTAATGGGGCTGCTACAGCAACAGTCACTCTTTCTCCTTCCTGAGCAGGGAGATCAACTGTTTCAGTTGCAAATCTGTGAGTTCTTGCCAAGCCAGACGGGGTTTCCACCTAGACAAAGTAGATTAATTGGTTTAGTTGCAACCCGAGAACAGGAACATCATGGCATGATTATAAACAGTAGCCTTGAGATTGATCAAACTACACAAAACTAATAATAATAATAATAATAATAATAATAATAATAATAATAATAATAATAATAATAATAATAATAATAATAATAATAATAATGTATAAAATCAAATCGAGTTTTTTTTTTCAAGATTACAAATGGTACGACAAGGACCTTCTTGAACAAAATTTTGAACACATTTCCTCCTGCCGAAGGAGTAATTTGTGAAACTGAACTTCTTTTTGGGTATGGTAATCGGAAAAAAAAAAAAA